TATTGGTAGAGACTCACTAGTTATATGAATTTATAGCTTTTGAAGATTTGCCTTGCTGTAGAATACTAAAGTTAAAAAACTTGCATAAAAAGTAGTGGCTTTGAATCTATGCTTCAAATGGGACAAGAATTTGTCATAAACTCTTAACAGACTCAACCCAGCCCAATAATACTAACAAAATCTTACTGAAAAACTTTATTTTAGGTCCTTTGATTTTAGATACACAGACTGGCAATCTAGTCATAAGTATGCAGAAGAGTTATGTTAGAGAGACACAAGATAAAGTTGCTGGGTTTTGCTCAAGGACCCAGTGCATGATATCCACCCCAAAATGCCTGAATAATGAAACGTTTTGCAGCTGAAAAGTATTGCACTGCAACCTGCCATTCTCATCCCAGGAATGGCAAGGTCACTTTGTTGTAATGATGAAAAAATCGTTAGACCAACACATTTGGTTGAGAGATGCAGGACACTGCATGCTGGCCTGTTTTCCCTGAAAAATTACAAGAACATTGACATAACTGGGCCCAAATTCTCTCCCCCTCCATGGTAGAAATGACAGTGTGTGAACTTTATGTATTTATCTATTTATCTATATTTTTATCTATAGCTATTGGGAGCACAGACTACCTGTACTGCAATTTTCCTAGAAGACCAATCATGCAATGGGGAAAGAGTCTCAGGCTGCAGTTTTCTCTTCAAACATACAGCCTTTTTTGCTAGAAAGGTTAGGCACAATTAACTTCTTTCATGCAGTAATATAGTTAAAGCAATAATTGGAATCATTCTGAAACATCTTTAAGAAACCAAAGAGCACATACATGTTGAAAATGGATTCTTGATGTTGTCTTTTGCACAGTTTTTGATATTTTTATCAGAATACTGCTTCCACCCCTGTGAAGGAGCTTGCCTAAATTGAATTGACATGCTTTTTCTTCCAGCTTTACAAAACACTGCATTTAATGGTTAATAGCTGCAATCACAGTGGAAGGCCCATAAAATCTGCAATACTAAAATTAAATTTTAATGAAAAACTAAGGACGAAATATGCACCAGGAATCAGTTTTAAAACCTACAAATTAAATTTTTAAAGACTTTTTTATTGAATGATACAAAAAAAGAAATAAAAAGTGGATTTGAAATTAATCTTTTTACCTAACAATGGTAGGGGAACAAAGGGCATGAAGCATTAGGAAGGGTTTGTGTCTGAAGAAATACATTACTTAAAACTATATCCTGCACTCTGTTTCTTGAATCTTTAAGTGACTCTACAAAATTACATCCCAGATGACTTTTTCCACTACAAATTCTCCTTTCTTGATTGTATCATCTTCCTACTTAATCAGCTCTAGTCCTTCTACTGTCCTTTAGCATTCACTTCCTTTCTTCACATGGGATGTTACTGGTTCCTTCCAATACACAGCAAAACTTTGTGACTTGCACATGCTTTGCATTTCACATTTCTACCCTTTCTGCCCACCCACACAGATAATTGCTTTGTCCATTCTCACCATTTCAAATGACAGCTACTGCAGTTCTTTTCTCCAGCCCTGACAATTTATCCAATAACCCCTTCTAGGATACTGGTAGAAAGATTAAGTTTCATAGCCTTCCTATTTGGCTGTGCCATCTTTCTCCATACGTCAGTAAAAAGTTATACTCTCTTTTATCCAGTTCTACATAATTAATCTTTTTTTCCCAGTATTTTAGCATTCGTTTCTTGTCATATTTATTTTCTCTCATTCAAGACTGAAAGATCAGCTCCTGCTGCTCATCCGACTTGCCCCATCATCCACCTGATATATTTTTAGTAAGCACCTCATGTTTTCTCCTCATTACCTGGAATGCATGAAAAGACCTCTCTAGAAACAGTCACAAAGTCATCTTGTTTTCTTTGGTCAAATCTCCCCTTAGCATTCTCTATTGTCAAGATGTCCCTAACCCAGTGTTGTAACTATCTTCTGTAACTATCTTCTGTCATGTGGAACATCTCTTAGTTCTTCTGTGCTTCCCCTTTTGAACTCATACGTTATTTCGTGATATAGACTCTATGTGCTTGAAACAGAGATTGTGTTTTTCTACAGTATTTCAACAGTGAAATCGTGCTCTGTGATTATAATTGCTGTGTACTCACATGATAAAACTACTGTGAGTATCAGAATTAATGCTTAGGATTGATATTTTAAAAAATGGAGGTTAAGATTTAGGGAAGTCTTAAACAGATTACCTGCAGTAAAAATTGTTAATTATTATTTTTTGTCCCTGATATCATCAGGGAGCTGGAATAAGAAATAATGTCAGGGAACTGTGAATACTGAATACTCAACAGCAAAGTTTGAGTGATGCTTTCTGTTTACTAACATGTGTTGCCAAGAAGGAACGCAATTATGATTTCCCTATAGGTCAACCATATGCCAAGGTTTAGTTTTACAAGGTTTAATGAAGAAAAATCTGATGCTGCAGCTACTTCTGCCAAAAAAGATGAATTGATTTAATGTGCTCCAGTGCTCCAAAAGCTAATGCAGTTTATTGTGCTGAGGTACTCTTTAAAATAGTCATGGGATGAATTGTGATGGGTATCTGTCTTCATGGTCATTTAAGTTACATTGAACCCAACTATGATCTCAGCAGATTGAAGACCTTAGTGTGACTATTACCATTATTCATAAAGTATATAAGAACAGTAATATCAAGAGGTATGACTTATCCTTAACAAGGTAATTTTTGATGATGAAGTGATTATGAGCAGCCCCCGCATGTACACATATAAGCTGGTAGCAAAGAAAGAGAGTGGATTTCCATAGAGTGCTCTGTGCTTACCCTAATGTATATGAACAGAGTTTTACAGGCATAAGTTATTTAGAGGTAGTTTAGAATTGGCAAGATAAAAGAAAGTATATTTTTCTGAGATTTTCTGCCATTCTTGTGTGAGAAGGGTTTCAAGAATATTCATCAAATCTGAAACTCATTTTTTGCTAATGAATAAAGAAGAAATATTGTATTTCTCTCAATGCAATTTACATGGATTTTGCAATACAAAATGTCATAAATTTATATGGTTTTAAGGACTCATTGTAAAATGTATAATTCTAGAATATTATCTGATAAAACCAGAGGCAGTTGTGCTGAAATGTTTCTGGATACAATACAGCAGCAGAGGTGCATGACCACTCCACCATACAGCAATGCTTGACTGTTATTCACAGTGAACAAATGAAAGAAAATAGGAAGACACGGCTTTGACACTGATTGTCAATCACTATGCACAGTTTATCAATCTATCCAAAGAGGATTAGTAAAAAAAATTAAAAATCTATATTGTCTTCTTTAGTATGGCCATAAATGAAAGTAATTTTGATATTGATGAGATATCACTCAACAAAAGATTTTCCCTGAAATGATAATTCAAGCATGAAATACAATAAGGAATTCTACAATTCCTACTGTTTATTATAGTCAAAACCAAATTGTGGTCTAAACCAATTTAAAAAATAGTATGCTGTAGTTGCATGCATATTAATGAGTCAAGTTGGTGTGCTGCATCATTTGGTATGCATAACAAGCTCATTGAAGTTGAGAGTGAAACTTAATTAAATATGAAAGCATCATGACAGAAAGCAAAACAAAACAAAAAAGCAGCAGAGAGCATAGGCAATAAGCAAGCAAAAGGAATAAAAAGGAAAGACAAATAGGGTCTTGGAGGCAGAAAAATAGGTCTATAGAAACAGAAGTATATTTTACCTGTCATCCTCTTTCCCTTCCTCAGCTTGGTCTTCTTGAGCTTTTTCATCATGCCCTGATTCTTTGATTTCCTCCTTATCACAGTTTTCTGTCACCTCTTGCCCTTCCCCTTTTTCATTAATTTCTTGCTCCTTTGCTTTTGCCTCCTCCTCCTCCTCCACTTTTTCTTCCTCCTCAGGAAATACTTCATCTTGTTCATCCCCTTCCAGCCCTCCCTCTTTTTTTCCCTCTATATCCCTTGTCCTTCTGAGGTCAACAAAAATTGAAAAAGGCATGCAAAAAGAAAAAAAAAGAAAACAATAAATTAAAGTTAAGGTCATGGAGAAGAGCATGCATGAAAAAAGGAAACGCAAAAGAAATGAAATAAAAACTAAAGGATGGAAACAGTCATAAGGTAAATCATGCTGGCTAAGGGTCCAACCTAAACTAGAGATCTTTCTAGGCTCTAGGAACATTTTCCTAGCAGAAAGTAAGTCCTTCTTCAAATAAGCAACACAAATAAGCATGGCAACACATCACATTTAGAAATGTATACAGAACTGTGTGAAAGAAACAATATGGTCCTAACAACGCTCATATAAGCAGACGCTTAAACAATTTTTTCAAACACACTATTTCTCTCAAGAGGACAATTTTCTGAGAATTAATATAGGTGATGGAGGTGGGTTGCACCTTCAAGAAAAATTATCTTTCACTTGTGCATCAAGTGAAAGCCAAAGCTTCTGGAGTGCACACAAGGTGCAGACAAAGAACATACTGTGATTTGGTCACAGATACACAACGTATGTCTTGTTGAAGAGCAGTTCAAGAGTTGTACACTTACAGTGTACACCTAAATTGGATTAGTGTAAGTATTAAATAAATTGAACAGGTCTATCAAAGTTCAGCAGCTCTATTTAAAAGGAAAACAAGATACCTCTGCTGGCACAAATTTTCCAGTTAAACTGTGTTTTCAGCCATATTATTTTACAAAACGGTTTTCAGAAAGTGTAAATCTAAGTGTGTCCAATGCTTGCTGACAGCATATCTTTGTTATTTTAGTGTATGTTACATAACCCAAGATGACAAAACTTGGCTAAAAACAAATTCCGTGAAGACTTCAAAAAGCATAAAAAGCAAAAGAAGTTTAAACCAGTATTTTGGAAATTCCCTGCAAATTTCATTCTAGGCAAAATGTTAATTTCAAATACACATATCAATAAGTGTTCAGTTACACAAATTACACAGCTGTAGCTGGCACTACAGGTCATTGTGCTCACCTTATTTTCTTGTTTCCTCTTGGACGCTCAGACTGGACGGACATGTAGCTTGTGCTGCTGAAACGTGAAGCGCTGCTTGTCCGTGACACAGCGGAGACATCGCTGACATCGCTGTCAGAAGACTTATTGGAAACATTGTCTGAGCCTCGATGAGGATCCCGCCCTGACCGATACTGCAAGAGGGAAAGGACAAAGATACAGATGTTGTCAGTGACACGCTACCACAAATCAGCTGTGGAGCTGGTCCCTGATGCTATCTAAACTGCCTTAGTCACTACATTGCCTGAACTTTTATAATGAAGTTTTTAACTGATATAGAATATGTTATGTCTTGGTTTCTATTAATTTTACTTGCTTTGCTATCCCATTCAAGTAATTAGCTCCTCAGGTTCAACCATAGAGTGACTTGTGCAAAACTTCCAGCACATTCAAAAGTTTCACAAAGCTTAGCAAAGACATCTAAACCATCATTGAATATTCTTACCACAACTGTTTCACCAGTGCAGAAAGGAAAGCAGAGAGATTAGTGACTTGCCTATGATTGCTGAGCTCATGAAAGATTAAACACAAGACAGAATGTGCTGCATGCTATCTATAGAGTACGTGTCTCTTTTGGGGCCTAGCCTGTTTACAAGAACTTCTAATTGACAAATGCTAATTTTTTTTCCCCAAGTAAATAGGTAGATGAGAATATCAAATCAAAAGACAAAGCGATGATGTAGCTGTGCAAACTGAACTGCTGTGCTGGGAAACCTGAAAGGATGGGACAGGACTAGAGATAATTTGTAGGGAAAATGTACATGTGCCTCAGAAACTAAAGGATTACAAAGGTATTTGAGCTTATTAACAGTAAATACCGAACATGGAACTGTCAGGTGACTGGTGATTATCAGTAAGCCCACACAACGTACAGTATTGTGCAGTGGTATACAGGTTAGATCTGAACAAAATATGATGGCTATTTGTCCTTCTTACACATTAGCTCTAAATTAAGTCTGTGCCACTCTGCACTGCACTATATACAAATATAATAAATAGCAGAAAGATATTTTTCCCTCTTCTCTTCATATACAGACATTTCTGTGTATACAGAAATCTGATGGCTACTACTGATAATCTTTTCAGAAAAATAGTACTGCAGCATGAATTGTCAATGAACACAAGGTAATGGTTTAGAAATAAGACAGTGTGGAAATATATGAAGAGCAGAACAGACAGGACTGATAGAAAACAAGGGGAGAAAATAATGTGCCTAACACATCAGTGGCTTGTTGAAATTTTGGGGGTAGCAACATCATTCAGCCATCTGAAGAAAAAAAAAGTGGAAGATCTGTGCAGTACTGCAGAAGACAAGGTTTGGTTATGAAATTTGGTGCTTTTTTATAGTTTTAGAACTGTCTTTCATGAAGTACACAGAAAATTTGTTTCTGTTCTCTTACAAGGAATGTTAAACTGGGAAATATTCTGAAAGATTGTGCAGTATCTCAATTGCATTTCAGAATAACATTTCAGTGCCTATTCATCATAAATTATTTTTATGCTTAGAACTAGTAAATTATTTTGCTCATTTCAAGACAGGGAAATTAAATAAAAACAAGAAAAAATGCTCATGCAGGTTAGACTGTACCCCTGCTGCAGAAAGTGACCAAGCACAGCCTGAACTCCACACTTACGAAAACGGTTTTACATTCTGCAGCTGTTTTCCTGATCTGTGCTAATTTATGGTATTTGTGTTCATCAACAAACACTCAAGTCCTCCCCAACCTTTATGTGTGAAAGTGCACTTAGCCACCCATAAACTCACAAAGTATCTTTGTGATTATAACATTCAAAAGTTGTAATATTTACTGACTGGTTTTATTGATACCATTTACTTGATAAAGGACACAGTACATATTATAACTGATATATTCATTTGAGAACATAAAAGGAATGATTAAGCAGCTATCCTGATCATCAGAGACAGCTGAACATTATACCAGAATAAAAGCATTTTCTTTTTCAGCAAGTCCTTTTAAAAGAGCTACATAGCCCTTCAGAGAAGAAGAAAATAATTATGCCAAGTTAAATGTGTATATACTGATTGTAGCTATTCCATTCCCCCCACCTAACCTTCCCTGTGATCATTTTGCATTGAAGACAAAGTTGTGAAAGCAGTTTGCGTTGATTTAGCCTAAAGCTACCAAGACTGGGAAGTACAGCCTGGCTTACTGGGCTACCACCACACACTATGGAAAGGCAACGCAGAGCTGCCCTCAGGCCTCCAGCACTGGCCAAGGCTCCCAGGCAGATGTAATTGCCATGCCAAGCCCTTTGCTGACAAGGATACACTGCCATTGGCTCCCACCAAGCTAATGTACAGCCGAGATGTAAATGCCTGTATGAACATCTGTCGTACTGACAGTGGTTACTGACCCCGGGCCAGGCACATCGCCAGCACGGCAGGCACAGCATGGCCCTCCTCTGGGGAAGTAAGGTGGGCCACAGTGTCAGACGTAAATCATTGATGGAATTGTTGCAATTAGGGGATAGATAATTACTTGTGATGATTCATAGAATAACAGACCTCAGCCTGCAGATCCCACACTGATCTTGCCCAGCAGTCTATGGAAATGAGCCCTTCTGAATGAAATAAATGCAAGCAACATAAAGTGGCAAACTGTATCAGCATTCCACAAAGTTATTCTACAGAGTCACTCTGCAGTACATAAAGTTTCAAAAACCTATGGTTTTGATTTTCTCTGTTTCATTTCCACACCTGGGGAATGTCAGTTCTTAAAATATACTTTTCATAGCAATGTGCTGTATATAACAAATCAAACTTTTCCATAAATAGAACAAACTTATCATGGTTTGGTTGTTTGGTTTTTTTTTTTTTTTAAAGTCAATGTAATAGTAATAATCTAGTAATATATAAGTGAAGATTGAAAATTGCTTTGGCAAGAAAAACACTTAAAGGTAAATAATTTAAGAAATATAATGTGAAAAACGATCATCAAATCATTACCTTGTCTCTTTTTTTCTCAGTTGTATGTAGAGGTACTTCCCATCAAATGTTTTTAATTGGGTCAGACGGTACAGAAATATTATGTGACCCTTACAGCTTCAGGATATTTTAGGTTGAAAATTGGGAAGTATAATTGAACCTTTAATTAAATCTGAATATCTGAATATAAAATATTTTTTTAAGATTTTATTTATCCATTGTCTGAGTTACAGTCTTGGCATCTGCTAGCTGCCTACCACAGTAACATCTAGTAAAGTGAAATTAAATTGTCTTTCTTGCTGGACGAAGCTCAGATATCTCATATTCATTCATTAGTTCTGCTGCAAATTGCTCTTTATTCTGCTGATAAGGTCTACTTTTGACCTTATATCTGACTTAATTTTGTTTAGGAAATGGATTACAGTAGTGTATTGCATATTAGTGTTTCAATAACTGCAGCACAGAAGACTAAGGGAATCATACTGCTTCTCTGACAGAAGCCATGCTGGCATTTCAGTTTTGCATCTGTTTCTTAAATTGCAATTCTATATACAGCCATTTCTGAAGTGCTCTTTTGCTGCCTGCCTCAAAAGTAAAATGGCATTTCCATTGTGCAAAAATTGATTTTTAAAAAGTATTCAGTTCTTTCATGTCATATACTGTGACTGTAAAATGTAACAATTTATTCAGTTTTGTGCTATTGCTTTTTCAGTATTTGTGTGGCTAAAGTTGCCCCAAGGCATCACATCTTCATATATGTCACATACTTCCTTTCTTTCTTTTTGCATATTTCACTTTTTTTTTTTCTAAATGTCACCAACTGTATGAGAAGATCAACTACTGGATTGAAAATACAATTTTTAACCAAGTGCCATCCACCAATTATATCTGAAACACTGATACCATCCCTCTCTACTGCCATCCCTACATTCTGTGATGTAGGGTTTGTGCCATCTGAATGCACACAGCCAGGGAACTGCAGCCTCCATGGCTGGATTCAGGCTGCAGCATGGCCACAGATTTGGATCATCAGCTCCAGCAGCTGTCCTGTGTACTCCCATTTCCCTCAGGAGAAAACATGGACAATAAGGGAGCTCCATAGCTCCCCTGGTATGGACAATTAGGAGGCCCAGGCTGTGTTGACATGTACCTGCCCATCACGCAGGTTAATTAAAAAGTTTCTTTCACATTTTTTTGTTTTTTAAATACCAGCCACAGCAGAAGGAAAATTGTCTCCTGTTTTTCCTCGTGCTGGAAATATATGCCTCTTTTGCTGGAATAAGGTTAAATTTTCATTTCCAACCCAGTCAAGAGTCATACAATATAGGCAGCATTCTGGACTTTATGACCCATAAAGCAGTAACAATACTCAGAGTCTTCAAGCTGTTTCAATAATAGGAATTCTCCTGCAAGCAGAGGGGTTGATTAAAAGATGCTTTTGTATTTTTAATAGTAAGATGATTTTGTCCTATTTTGTCATGTTGAAGAATGAGAAAAATTGCATTATTATGGATTCTATCAAACAAGTTCTAAAGTTTCCAAGATCATTTTCCTCTGCATTAGTAAAATAATCAGCTGGAGACCTTAACAAAAGGATAGTTAGGTGTTAGTGCCTGTGTCTTTTCACTGCAAGAGATTACTGTCCTGTAGTGATGAATTCATACTTATTAAAGCTGAAAAGCAAATACCTGCTCTGCTTCCTTATACAACAACCCTCACAAACATTTTTACCTCTTGGTGAACTATCAATATGTCTATGTGGCTGAAAAGCCACATAGAGCAACAGCTCCTCTGATACTGATGCTCTTATTTCTGCAAAGAAACTGTTTTGGAACTTCTAATTCAAAGGGAGTTTTAAAGTGTTTCATGTTGCTTTAATCTATTGTTACCAGTCTTCCATCTTGGACTATATAGTCATGCAGCTGTCCAGGCAGTTGAAATTGTCAGTGATTTCTAACCATCTTTCTATCTTATCATCATTTTTCTTTTTTTTTTTTTTTTATAGTCTACTCATCAGTTTTTATTTGCTAGCATTTACATAGGGACATGCAAATCTGGTCAATGTTTTTACTGATCAAAATGTTGGGAAGATGTTTCTGACAATTGTCCAGAATATTAAAAAAGCATTCTGGACTATTTCAATAGTTCTTTGCCTCACTGACAAAAGCTCTTGAGCAGCCAGAGCAC